CCTCTTCGGAAACAAATTTTCGTCATAAATCCTCTAACGCAAGCACCAGGAAGCCCCGAGGAAACCCTCCTTACCTGGAAGAGCGCCTTCTTGGCATCGACCGGGCGGACCTGGTAGCAGAAGCCCGTGACGATGTTGGGGTCCACGTAGGTGCCCACCACCGGCAGCTCGTGGCCCTGCAGACCCCTGACCACGTACCTCGCGGGCACGTCTCCGATCCGCGCCCCGTCCACCACGCAGTCGGCTGGCGAATCTGACCTGCTGACGCAACCTTGCAGCTGAAAGAGCGAGTACAGTGAGCGGGGCTGACCTGGGCGGGCGGCGCGAGTGACGGGGCGACACCAAACTCAGGTCAGGGGCGACCTTCGAGTTTCATGGCGCCCCAGTCGTTAGTCTTTTAAAAATATTAATGGCATAGCTATGTGTTTGGTTTTACTTGGTGATATGAGGTTATTTCGAGAAATGAAATATGATTTTTCTTTCACAATGACCATAATTTCATACTTATTGAGAAACATATGGTACAAATCAAATGATCAATATCAAAAGCATCTGTTTTCCACATTTTCTTCCATGAGCCGTGACTTTAATAAATCACACCGTGGTTGGCTTTCTCTAAGTGCGCCTCAACTGCTGTTCTGGAAGACCTTTCAGACCCTGACCGTTCTTCCCCCTTGAAGCGTGACAAGAACCCCCAAAAGAGATGCAAAAGGCCAAAAGGGAGGGAAAGTGGAAGGCTTGGCGCACCGGTCGGAACTGGCTCGAGCCGGCGGGATCCGGAATGATCCAGTTGGCCGTTCCTCCCCCGGGGCCGAGGCGTCCTGCTGTCTGCTGCCGTCTGCTGGGCGCGCCGGATCGATGCTCAGCGGGACGAAGAGGAGGCCGCCGCCGCCGCGTGTCGTCGCTGGGGGAGCCAGGGAGCAGGAGGAGGAGTTCCGGGAGGTGTTGGGGAGGAGGAGGAGGTGGTGGAAGGGAGAGAGAGAGAGAGGAAGAAGAGAAGAGGCAAAGGAATCTCTTCTCCCTTCCTCTTATCTCTTCTTCTCTTTTCTTTTCGCTACACAGCTTACCGAGCCAATTCCGACCCCGCCACCAGCAAAGGGGAAAGGACAAACCCCCTCTTAACCATTAAAAAAAAAAACAGCAAGAATGAATCGACACATAAAAGAGAAGGATTTCTGTAACACACACAGACACATCAACCCCCCCCCCCACCCCACCCCCCACCCGCCCTAGAATTACGGAACAAAAAGACCTCCAGAACAGCGTGAAGAGAGCGCAGGGTGAACAAAGGCGAAGTCGAACACGTTACTTATGCGGGCAAATGCTCGAGATTAACAGATGCTGAGATAGTCTCGGTCAGCCTCGTGGAGTGTCCGGGGTTTCTGCAATGGAGAAGTGCACGAGCGGAGAGCGGCATGGGCTGCCCCTACACCCCCTACCCACTCTTCCCTACCCCCCCCCCCCCCCCACCCACCCTTTTTCTAGGTTTCTGCCCCTCCCTGGTTTATTCCCCTTCTTTTGTTTTCCCCCTTTTCCCCTCGTTTTTTTTCCCTCACCCTCTTTTTTTTTTTAAATGAGGATCTGATTTACTTTACATCTGGGGTAGAGATAGGCCTACATTCCATCACTGAGGACTAAAATTTGAATCCAGTTCTAATATCAAACCAGAATATCACTGAGACATTTTACAGTTCCCTGACTGACGAAGATCATGGCAATCTGGTTCACTAGCGTAAGAAAATGATATCCAAAAAAATGAATAAAATCAAAAAAGCAAAGAGCTCGAATTGCCACCGCCATGACATAAAGCAGTGCCGTCCTTGGCGAAGTCAACGAGCAACAAAACTTCCTCTTATTGACCTTTTAAAGGACGTCACACGATAGTACATTATCCAGTTAGGTTGTACCTTATTACGTCATCCATTTATAATACTTTTTTTTAAAATATACTCGAAATTCGTGTGACTCGTGACCGCATTTCTTTCGTGAGCAGCTGACCTCGCCAAGAACGACACGACTTTAGCTCAGGCAGATGGAACGACAGAATTGATGGCTGTTTAATAGATTTGAAACTTTAACTTGAATGCATTTGAAGACTGAAAAAAAAAAACTGAACAGAAATCATATACACAAGAAAAACTAGGAAATTTCAAAGTCCTTAACAAATTTACATTATCGGAATGATAAGAAATTATTACATAATTTCCTTATTTAAAAAAAATCTCTCAAGATCTCATACCCCAGACTCAAAAACAAAGTCTCATTCTAAAACAAACAAAACAACAAAAAAGGTCAAACACAACACGAAGGCAGCCAACTTACCACGTCCTCCTGCAGGTCGAGGTCGCTCTCCAGCCCCGCCTTCGCCAGGAACCCGTCCACCTGCGCGGCCTGCTCCTCGACCTCCTCCTTGGCCACATCCTCCTTCGAGTACTGGGGGGCGTCGGGGAGAGTCTGTGGAGGCGGAGGAAGGAAAGGTAAAAGATTAAGGTTCATTCTCCTTCGTCTTGTCTCGAGAATCAGACATTGCCTTTCAAGCACATTTCTTTCACTCGGTAGATTTAGCTTTGGGAACCGTTACAAAATACTTATATACAATTCACTTTTCCTGAGAAATTATTTAAAAAATACATATACAAATTTATCTTTCCGTTGTTTGTGTAAGTAGGCTTTGAAATAATGATTTCCTTTGTCTAAAGTTTGGTTTTCAAAAATTGCACTTTCATGGTCACGTTTCTCTTCCACACAGAATTATATAACAAACTTCATTAACACTCGAGAAAAACGATGATATAAAAATAGTATAGTCATCCCTCTTAGAACTCTCTCCCTCAAACACGAACGAGAAAAACTTGGACCACACCCCAATGTATACAATCTCAAATTACACAAAGGAAATACACAAAATGGACGCGGTTACACATCGACGTATTTCTGACGTCACTCGCCCCCTCTTTTAGAAATTCTAAAAATGAAGACACGCTAACATATGTTTTTTTCTAGACCAAAAGAAAACGCCTTTATAGCCTGTGGCTTTGAGGGGAGACTCTTATATTGTCGGTTCGTAAACTAATATTAGCCATAAATAAAATGAACTAAACAATAGACTCGTTAAACTCTCCATTATAAAAAGCATTAAAAGACGAACAAATGCTAACAGACGATACAAACACACACACACACACACAAACGTACACACATATATAAGCCTATGGCCTACATACCAAAGAAGAAAAAAAATAAAATCTACCTATCACTCCCGCAAAGAATAATAACCATAAAAACGAAGAATTATTTAAAATATGTCGAAATAGTGTCCTTAAGAGAATAATAAAAACTTAGATAATAATTCTAAATAATTGAAAATAGTACCAAATTACTAGGACGTCTAAAAACACTATAAAAATCACAGTATCCTAACACCTAACAAAGAAATAATCACAAGATGTAATTCTCAAAATCCGAAAAAAAACAAAACAAAAAGGATTAAGGATTCACAACATACACAAATAAATAAACAAATATTCCTATTCACAACCTATGATCACACGACCCACCTACCCCATCCCCCAAAGAAGAGGCACCTATAGGCCTAGCTCCTCCTGACGGCACCCACCTGTCCCAGGGGCGCGACGAGGTCCTCCCAGGTGTTGGCGCGGGCGAGCGGGCGGCCCAGGAAGCTCTGCGGGTTGGGGCGCTCCCACTCGAACCTCCGCCCCATGCTCGACCAGAAGCGGGTCAGCTCCTCGGACATGGCGGCTTCGCGGGCGGCGTCGACGGGCAGGGCGGCCATTGCGAGCTTCGGGTTGAGGAGCGAGTGTAGAGTATGTAGGCCTATGTAGGTGTTCTCTGGTGTCTTGGAGAGGGTCTTGCCGAAGGTTCTAGAACGGGTGAGGTGTTGTTTCCCGATTTCGTGCGGATTAAGATGGCGATACTCCTATCAATATTTTCAAGATGGCGTAGGATAGTCAGGTGATAAATCAACACAGATTAGCTCTCTTGTTGTCACTGTCTCGAAGCTTCGGCGATCAATGAGCTCTGGAAGGTTCTGCCGGTCCTATATATGCGCGCGCACCGGTAGGAGGGGAGGAAAACACATCGTACCGCACTAATTGTAGTAATTACGTGATTCCGTCTTTAGCAAACTATTTGCATTACGGAAACTCCTCATATTTATAACAGGTATATCCTACATTTATAAATTTGTACAATCTATAAGGACCTGACAGAGAAATAAGACAATAATCGTACGTTGCAAGCCGAGAGCTCCGTCTATCTATTCGCTGATTGGCCAGGTCGTGACCCGGGGAAGGGGAGGGGGAGAGGGGGGAGGAGCTATTACACATTTACCTATTTTTGACCTCGTCTCATTACCCTCCCCAGAAAAAAATCCATCAAGAAACCTGCATCCCAAAACACTAAATAAAAATCCTCGCATTAACGCCTCAACGTCCATGCTTTCTCTTTTTCCTCCTCTCTTCCGCCCGCGAGAAAGAGAGAGAGAGAGAAGAGAGGGAGAGAGAATTGACACGTGATCAGCGGATGGTGATCACGTGATGCGATTTTCGCATTATATCACATAATTTCTTCTCGAAATTATGGCTCTGAGTACAAAAAAAACCTTGTATTTCGTGGTCTGGCAATAATACCCGGACTATTTTTATATTCAGTTATTTTTTTCGTGTCTCTTTTATTCATCGTGTTTTTTTCAGTTCCAAGAAATCAGTTTCCCTCGCGAGATTCTTCAAAATTCCCCTACGAATAATATCTTCCTCTTTTCGTCTGCAAATACAAACGTGATCCGAATACAAAGCACAGAACACAAACAAGAAAATCAAATGTCAATTAATTTAGGAAATATAAGAAGAAATTTAACCTTAAAAGGGAGTGTCTTTTCGTAACGGAATTTTCCACTTGAAACGAGACATGCGGTGTCTGAGGTGATAGCAATTGCAGCTTATCTGAGGCATTTTTTTTCGGGAAATCACGGCATATTTTGA